TGTGTGTTTGTTTGTGTGTGTACCTCTGTTGCTGGCCATGCTGCGCTGGAGGATCTGCTCCACCCTCACTGCCATGTCAGACATGTTCTGGGCTATGGCCTGAATCCGCTCCACCAGCCCTATAGGCTGAATCCTGATCACGCACATCACACAAACACGAAGGACAAGAAGAAGAATATCTAAAAATATTCCGGCAACAACTTTCTTGTAATTCCCTTCAAACTAAAATCAGGCCCCTTCTAAAGAAAGGGGACACTGAAATTATTTTATAGCTTCATTCCATCCAGCAGTATTTGTTGTTTTTCCACCCTTCACAGTGAGTGTGAAGTAGTGGAAGAAATGCTAATTGTCTAGAACTTGAGGCGTGAAATCGAAAAAGCTTTTAAACACTGACAGATAATTTATTTGTTGAGATAAAAAAGTAACTCTGCATATTAAAGCGGGTCCCCAGAGGAAAATAAAAACAGCAGACAATTAGGTTGTTAGCAAATGTGTTTCACTGCACTTGACCTCTGTGGCCTAAAAGCTGTTGGCAAAACAATCAGGAACCAATATTTACAATGGAGAAGGACATATGGGGGATGAAACACAGAGGGAAAAAAGGGAGGAGAGGAGGGTTTACAATATACATTATAGCGCAGTATTATAGTTGCAAGAGATTCTGGAAATCTCTAACATGTCTGTGTGAAACTGAGCAACAGACTGAGCAATGATCTGAAACTTTGTTCAGCCCGGGACCTCAGTCTTAGTAAAAGTTTCATCTTACCCCAGAGCCTAGTTTCATGAAAATATATTCCAAGATCTGCTACTATATGTGCGGTCTTAACAGAAACAAGACCATGACACATTATCTCGCTCTACAAGGTGCAAAAACCCAAGGAAAAGACCACATTTTATCTTTCTGTACAACATAAACCTTCGAAAGAAATTTATTGAAGGGATTCATGCAAATTGTGAATTATGAAATATTTTTGAGAAACGCCTGTCTTCTCCTATTAGTGTCCAAAAAATGCAAAAAAAACTGTTTAAACTGCAACTATAATCTATGAAAGTGTCTTTAACATGTCAGCAATACCAATATTGAAATATTTACTCAGAAAAGACTCAGAAAAACATAAAATTTGTTTAATGTTCAAATCCACTTTTGCATGAAATATTCGTTTATCAAAATAGTTGTTCATTCATTTTCTGTGAATCAAATAATGATGAATTGACTAATTGCTGTAGATATACCCCCACCTAACAGTTATTTGGATTATAACTGATCTGTCAATTATTTTATGTCAAACAATTGTGAAAAATACAATGTTCCAGAGCTCAAATTGCTTTAAATTGCTCATTTTGTCTGACCTATGGTCTGAACTCAAAAGGTAATTTCATTAACATATAAATATAGCAAATATTTGACATTTTGCTTGATAAATGATTAATTAAAATTGTTGGCAAATAATGTTCTGTTGATTGAGTAATTAATTAATCAACTAATTGTTTCAGCACTACAAGCTGTTGTGTTGTAACAACAGTGACTGGGTGGAGACTTTTATTGTGGTGATAATTAAGTTTGGGTACTTTCCATTTAAGTACAGTGTTTAGTTCAGAAAGAAAGTGATCATCTTATTTTCAAACTTGCTAGCTGAACTTTGTTAGAGGAAAGCTTGTAATTACTTTTACCTTTTATTACAGTTTGCCGTTACATCTGACACGCAGCAACCGAAAAAAAAAGTACATCTCAACGCATGACTTTAATGATGTGCGCTGCCTATATTAAATGCAACCAACACTCATTCATGGAACGACTGTATCATTGCCCTGTTTTACATGAAAACACACACTTCAATGAATCATTTTAATGAGCTTCTCTTGTTATGTAGTAGTATTTCTGAGATTTACATTTCTCATTAAACAGCTCTGAATATGTAAACTTAGTAAACTCACACAGTGGTTCTGAGCCGGATGCAGATAAAGCAGTAAAACAGATTTCATTGAGGCAGCATGTATTTCTGTGTGTGCCAGGGGGGAAGCAATCTAACTATGCCTATATGCATAACTTAACATAATCCTCAAATTTCGTTTTTCCATGTTGTGCCCAGGAGACAAGTGGTAGCCAAACCTGTTCTATCCTCGACTAGTAAGTCAGCACAAATTAATTGCCAATTACACAGCCACACTGACATACAGTACAGTAAAGTACACACACGGAGCAATGATTATTATGCACTGGCACAAATTGTCTGTCAACGCAGCCAGACGTGTTCTTGCACAGGCCCATCCCATATTTACACTGCAGGGGCTCTGACCCAGGAGAGGCTATCAGCTGCTGAAGAGCACGAGGACAACCTAATTGCTTTTTAAGAGAACACCAGGTGGACAAAGTTTTTTTCCAGCCTGAAGATCTCACACTAATCTCAAGGGTCAACCCTGACCCTGAGCCATACCGAGCTTTTTAATCACCTGCGTGACGTAAAATGAAGCCAGCATGAGATGCATTTTTACCCCCAAGTTGGTTTTAAAACTATTTGGCCTCTGTCACTGTTACATTTCCAGTTCAGTCCCTCAGAGGCCAATTAAATGATTGTTAGAACTACATGACTGAAAGTATATCTGCAGGGCATTTTTTTTAGAGAAAATTAAAATCTGTAAGTGTAATATCAAACTCCAGATAAAATAATTATATGCAGAGTATGTAATGCCATGTCAGAGTACAATAAATATTTCCTCCCAGGGTTTTGAAAAGTCCGGTCAGGTGAGGGGCTGCACCTCTTCTGTCATTGTTCATTATTGCAGTCGGCAGTCGTTACACAGTGGCCGGACATACTGTAAATTGCAAATGTTATTACAATGCCTTTTAGTATATTATCAGAGGTGGTTACATAGTTGTGTGTCACAGTGCATAGTTTATTGAAGTGGATTTTAGAAGAGATATTTCCTGACTGTGAGGAGGAAGGACGTGATATCCAGGAGGGAAACAACAGCAAAGGCAGAAACAGGAGGGAGCTTCCTCTCCTCAAACCCTGACCAGGTGCTGGCTCTGGAAAAGGTCTGTTGCCACGGCAACCACAGAGAACCAACAACTCCAGGCTAGAAGCTTCAACTTGTCCAGCAAGACCCCTGCTCTTCCTTTTTTTTCATATGACAGTCTCTTTCATTTCTCTAGCTGCCCAGGGAGAGGGGATCCGGTTTGTTCTAACACATCTCATCTTCTTCAACACCAGGTTTCTGCAGAGCAAAGGCTCTTTTCACAACATGCACCTGCACTACTGGGATGCCCCAGGGCTCCATACTTGGCCTGCTTCCTTTCTTCACACTGTATCTCTCAGCTCCTCTCCATGTCTTTATCTTACCATTAATATGCCAATGAAATTCACCTTGAGCACACAAGTTGAGCTGGTGAGCTTAACAGACTACTGTGCAGACCACCTCAAGTTCAACCTTGACAGCTTTGAGCTGCTGCTCTTTCCCGGCACATTTTAGCATCTTTCTATCACCACTGACAACACTTCAGTGACCACCCCTAACACTAGCTATTTTTTTTACCAAAATTGAAAGGTCCTAGGGTCCAGTTCACAAAGAATCCTTTTGGCAGGCTGGCTCTCACCAAAAAGAGGCCTTTTATAATAACTGAATCGTGTCTGTACAAGCCAGATCACCAGTACATTAATTCGACCACATATGTACTATTCAGCATGTACTGAATACAAGATTTGTTGACCCAGCTCATCCTCCCACAGATGCGTGTAAACCTCAAACCTCTACATGTTTTTTAGAACACTGTAAATGTAGGACCTTCTCTGTATTAAAGTGGCTATTCAAACATTCACTGTTTGAATAGCTAAAGTTTATCTGGATGTTGCAGTCTTGTATGCAAGTTTTCACACCTGAATATATCTGAAACAATTATTAGTATTTAAATTGTATTTCTCCCATAGGCTCTTGCAGGAAAAAGCCCTCTTCAAATATGGGTCACCCAGAGTGATAACTTTTTGGTTCTTCCATTGGATGAAAGCACTGTCTAAAGTAGAGGGTTTGAAGGAGGTGTTTGCAGTTGGAAGAAGGAAGGACATGTCTCTCAATTTGAGACTGAACTTCAACTGTTTCCAGACACACATGGTAAGATTTATTATAGGATTATGTTTGTACTGTATGTTGACTAATTCAGTGGTATTGCAGACACGACAAAGGCAAGCAATCCTCTCTCTCCATTTTCAGTTAATTGGCTAAGGTTAGTCCTCCACACTCGTTAATGTATTCTGTGGCTACTCTAGTCCCAAATAAAGCTGCGAGAGAAAGATCATTTTTAAAGCGTTTGTGGTGAGATTATTTTGTCAACTGTTGTTTCCAAAGTTAAGAATAACCTTTAAAGCTCAACAAACAAACTCAATACTTACGATAATTTAGTGTGGCACCTTTGAGCGGGGCCCGAGGTACACACTGACATTAAAAACATTTTCATCCAAATACACACCACCTGTAGTGTTACTTACTATGCCTGACCTACAGTGCTCCTTGGGCAGAGATGAGCTAAAACAGTGAGTGTCATTATAAGTAGAATACAGTCTTCACCAGTCCACAGCAATTTCCTAATGTTTGTACAGGTAATATGCTGCTTTGCTCAGAAACCAACTATACATGACAGGAGGCTGCCTTCTACATTAGCTGTATCCAATGTAAAACACAACTGACAGCCATTAGAAACCAAGATGCTGTACCTGTCCAGGGCTGAGCTGAGCTCATCCAGCCTGTGGGTGTCTGTGGTGTTACCCAGTTTAGACAGGGCATCCATCCTCTTCATAATGACCTCCAGCATGTCACTGATTTTCCTCAGCACCCCACGAGACTCTGGGCCACCCAGCACTAAAAAACACACAGACAGATAGTATAAGACAAATATTACTAAAGTAAGTCATGGAGATGGATGGAACAAGTTAGAGATGAAAAATAAAGGAGGGAGAAAGTCATTCCAGAGAAAAGAGCAAAGTGACACGGGGGAAGTGATACATTAGAAAGGAAAAGTGTGAATTTGACTATTTTATTGCGTGTTGCAGTCACATAGTGCAGTCTATGTACAGTCACATTTTATACATTTGGCTTTATGTAACATAGAAAACAAGGTCATAGGAACAAAACAAACTGCATGCTGTTCTGATTTAAATTTCATTTTTGCTCTGAAATGATGTACTGTACAAGCAGTTTAAATTCACTATTGTAGCACTGACGCACTCAAGGTTACATTTTAAATCCAATTATATTTAGTCCAATTTTATTGTTGGTTTACTTTAAAACATCACTTTAGTATCCCTGTTCTTTTGTCCTCCAATACTGAACCAGCAGCTAGGCAAAACACAGGAACGGGCAAATTAGTCTGACGGTATTGGTTTTGTCTCCCTGCTTGGCTCAAATTATTAACGACCTGACTGGTAGTAAACCAGAATGATGCTGTTAGCCAACACCTAGTCAATTAACAAGCCTGCAGCTACAGACAATAAGGTCAAAGCATGTCTCAGACTACATTGCTTGCTAGTCAAGGTCTTGACCCTACGCTGTTTTCTTTGATCACATTAAGCTCTACACTCGATGCCAAGTGCAATTATTAACACGTAATTGCATCACAGTTCAAAATCACCAAAGGGTTTATGAGGAAAATGGCAAAAAGTCGTTATTGATTCAGAAATTTTAAAGAATCAAGATAAGTAATGCCCCTCTTGGGACTTGAGAGCAAATTTGTGGTTTAGACCCCTGAGAAAAAAAGCAGAAACCAACAAAAGCCTCATAACTCTATTCTTGGGGACTGTGTGAAAATACAGCCTCACCTCTCAGTGTTCCCTCATCAATTGCATTAGGCTTTAGAAACTGCAATGTGTGCAGACTCACTTCTCCTGTCAGAGTTCATTTATCACTGCCCGGGCGAAAGTCACCTTTCTTTGAGAAGAAATTGTATTACGTCGAAAGTAAATAAAATAAGGAAGAAGAGAGAAATCTCTCACTTTTCTTGGTCTGTGTGCATGTGTGTTGCTGAGGTTGATAAAAGGAAGAAAAGCACTCAGCATCAGAAACAAGAATTACAGAAAATGTTGCAGTGGTATACTTCAGCTCAAAAGTGAATTGTGTTAGAGAGAGCCCTGATATTCCGCTAAATCTCTTCTTTTTATTGCCTGTATATATTTTTTGCTTTGGCTTAGTACAGTTTCACCCATTCCTAGAATATCTTCAGTCAAACTGGCTTAAAGACGTCTCACTTTGAATAATTCAACAGTTCTCCAGACAGCAAGAGAGAGACTAAATGAATTCCTATTCAGACTTGCAGCTTTATAGCAGCTATAGAGCAGTTTATCAATACATTTTAAAAGAAGACGACTCAGGAAGGAGTAAAGGAGGGTAATATATACTGTCAAAGTAAACACTCTGCCTGCCAACTGTCTAAAGCCTGTTGCATGTAACTGCAAGACCAAACCTTGAGCAGCAAAATCTACAAAAACAATTCCCAAACAATTATTTTACCATTCTTATGTACATTTATTACATTTATTTGTGAGGATCTCTGTGGACTTATATTTTCTTAGTTCAACGGCTCCTCCATCAGCCACAGTGTACTCACTGCAATACATCTAAAGAAAGCCTCTGGGCTAAAGTGTGGGTAGAACTCACATTTCTTCACAGTAATGCTCCTCGCGCACGTTGTGCTCGTAAATCACTATTACCGAGACCGAACACCCTTCCTACAGAGTACATTTTTAGAACTGAGCCTTATATATATTTGCAATCAACTGTTCATCAAGCTGGCTTTTACTCTTGCTTCCTGCTGCCTCTTGGGAAACATTGGCTAATGTGTTTTTTTCCGATGCACAGTCCGGCACACTGACAGTGGTCTAGCAGGACTTCATGGTATCTATGTGATAATGTAGGGCCTCCTCTGTGTCATTCCTCATCTGATGGTTAATAAAGGGCCGATTTAGCAGCAGCTAATCTCCTTTAACGACTCAATTTCGGAAGTGCCACAGCACAATCAATATTATGAACAAATTCCAATTAGATCACCATTTGTACTGTTGCCTGCACTGCTTAACACTGGCCAACCAGCTATAAACAACTGCCCTTAAAGCTCAATGGCTACACATGATACCAAAATCTCAGACCTGAACCTCGCTGACAAGACCAAAGAATGTAATTTAAGCTTAGCTATATGCACTATTTTAATTGTGAACACTTTGTCAAAGACAATACACTGCTTGGTCAACTTATGTTATGGCCACAGCATTTTGCCTTCAACAAAAACATTCAACAAAACATTTTATTATAAAATTTGCCCAGGGACAGGAACAATTTTTTCTTTGTTAGTTTTTTCTCAAATGGGCAATCCTAAAAGAAACTCATTCTTCCTCCTTTAGGGAGCTTAATATGACAGAAACAAGCGAGGAAAGTTCAGAAAGTGCTAAAAATAGCCATTGCATCTTTCCACTCTCCCTAAATGCGCCTTTAAATCTCAAAAAATATACGCTTGGTAAACACTGAAAATGAACTGGGTTCAGGGCTGAAACTACTCTGTTTGGAACTATGGGTAGCTCCATGGCACGTGTTGCTTCCCGCTTTTCAGATTACACACTTTCACGTCTGCTCCTAATTGTCTCAAGAGCTGTGCAGGATGTATGGCAGCCTCCGTAGAAGAGGACCCGCTCCCTCTTTAGATAAAAATGTCTCATTCTAAAGGTAACAAAAACATGATTTATATTCTCAGGTTATTCCATTTCTGCCAGCAGATCCT